AGATGTGTATAAGAGACTGGCAATTGATGATCATTACAACATATTTTGCACCATAGGTCTTTAGATGGTCGTTTAATGAATTGTTCTAACGTATTTACAAACTGAAATTCTCTGTACATGTTTACAAATAAGCTCTGTCCATAGTTCCTTAATTCAGAGAGTTTCCATCTGTTGACATGGCTAACTTTGAAAATCGTGTTTCAGTCATCATCACAGACGTATTTCCTTTCTCTCTCGATTTACTACTATTGCACAAGCCACGAAATATACGGTCAAAATGTTTTTTAAAACTATTAGTAGTGAATGCGTACACAAATGGGTTCATGCTGCTGTTAGCGTAGGCCAGACATAAGCAGAAAACATTCAGATACTGAAAACTGCTTGACTTAAATACAGGCTTGCCATCATAGAATTCCATTCCAAGAATGATGGCGTGAAGGGGTAACCAACTTAGAGCGAATAGTATGACAACTATAAATACCATTCTGGTTATTTTCCTCTTCCGTTGGGACGCCTTCAGTTGAGCTTGAGCACTCTCTGTCCCCATTGACGTTCGCTTCCAAACTTGCATTAGAATATTTACGTAGCAGATGGTGATTATAAGAAGCGGAATGACATACATTGACAGGAAAGCGAACATTGTGTGTATATTATCCCGTTTTGGTGATCCAAAGTCCCGATTGCAAACTGTGTAATTATATTTGTCCACATAAGAATTTGTGTATATTGCGGCTGGTATGTGAATCAGAATCGAAACTGAAACAAATGCATTAAAAGTATATTAAGTCATGTAACAGTAAAATACGGTAAAATACGCAACGTGTGCATTGATTATCATTTTATAAAATCATTGATAACATAATAAATATTCACGTGTATTGTACAAAAAAGAAATAAACAATATTAAAAATGAAAAAAAAAAACATATATAAAAATAGTAAGGATAATGGCAGGCCTATAATGTAATTGATGATAATAAGCCGAACATGTTCATGTATATGAAAGTCTTTTTAACTATCTAATACATACACAATTGTAGATTTTAGATATTAGAACACTTGGTTGACATTTACTAATACTGTATCGATTTGAGTGGATGAGCGGTAAGGCAGTTGCACCGCTATCTACAGCATTAAACAGGAGAAGATCCCGTGTACATATCTGGCTCGTGTTCACTTTAAAGAACTTATTGCATATTTCGGGGAAAATAGGGGGTTATCCTGATGCTATGGTTCATTTCATCTGTCGCGTGGAATGATGTAAGCATTAACCTATTACATACAATATAAGTGTCATTTAACGGCAGCTAAGTAGTCACAGACAACGCCCATCACAAATCAACACAATGACACTGCGAGTTATGGTTATTCTCCTATTTTTACTTTTACACTTATTTTACTCTATGTCTGAATTAAACAGAGAGCAACTTTAAATTTTAGTAAATACATTAATATAAAATTTTGCCTTATCCAGTCTACCCATTTAATAATCCTCAATCAAATGTATTTAAGTAGTTAGTAGTGATCGTAAATGCTTGTAGTATAGAATGTTATTATAACATAACCCAATGGGTTTACAAATTGTATTGTTTGCAAGTGTTATTTATCTTTATTTCTTGTGAGTTATTTGCTGTTTCTGGTTTGTTTTTTTAACTTATCTGTGTTTTTTTTTACCTTAATAAGAAAATAATATTGATTGATGGGTTATATCTTGTCCTTATAAATAATTTATGGATTATGAGTAAGAAAGTAGTACGGTGCTTGATTTGGCATTTTTAAAATTCTATGATGCATTAATTATTATTTTGATCGCACAGTCAATGAACTGTCAATTGTAAACAACGCCAGATGAATAGTAGCGCTAAAAGCACATTCTCGCATTGGTTGTCATTAAATATGTTCAACCTTTGTATTTGGACAATATTGTTTCGATTTTAGAATTGAAACTTATTAGGTCACTAATAAACGAACATTAACCAATTTATATCAGGTACAATGATGCTCGCAGGGTGCTAGGTACTAATTCTTCGAAGATTTAAAATAGTTGGTAGGCCTATATTGTGAATAAGTTGGGTAAGGCCTTTTTTATCGATATTGTTTTCTAAATTGGAGACAAAAAAGAAAATATTACTTAATGTTGTTCGGGAATGAGTGAATAATACTGATGGTTATAAAATTGGATTAGTGGAGAAAAGGAAGAATACTGAAGATTACGTCTGTTGGAAATTACTGAAGGTGATTGGAAATATTAATATTATGAGAGACGATTACTGGAGATTACGGGAAGGATAATAAAGAGTAATGATGACCTAAGGTTACTAATGATCATGAGGGTGTACTAAAGATCAGGATATGATTATGCTAGAAATTAGGGAAAACAATTGCACGATTACTTAAAATTACTGAAAATCATAAGCAAAATTACAATTTCCGTATTACTTGAAAGGAATTAGTGGAACATGAAACCTCACATGTGTAAACCAGGATGGTTACTTAGAATGGAAATTGGTAATTTTTAGACAATATTCTGTGTGCGTTTAACTATCACAAACCTGCCCAAATGCCGAGACTTATGAGTATAGCCCGTCGAATTGTTCTCGTATTTCTTGCGTTAACAGCGTGAACGATTAAATGATACCGATCTATGGTCATAGCCGTCAGGAAAAAGCACGTGGCTTGAATAGTTACCTGTAAGATATAGTTATTAGCATAGGGTTTATGAAAGTACTGATTTCTTTTTGTTTATATAAAATATTGAATCATGTGATGTACATGTCTAGTAAGATTATCCCATAAGTATAGTTATTCGCAAGTTATAAGAGAGATTTATTACATATATATAATATTGTCAGCTATGTTTCAAAATATGGAACATGTCTTCTCAGCGAAGTGCTACGAAAGAGGAGAAAGAAAATCTGAGTGAAAGAAATGAATGAAGAAGAGATAGAAAACACAAAATTTCCCGTAAGGTGCACTCGTTTGAAAATCATGAAATTAGGGTTATTGACATTGTGTAAATTAAAACGTAAGCAATACTTACGAATTGCATGTAACCAACAAGTTTACAGATAAAGCCTCCTAACATCCATTCTTTTCCTATAGTAGCGGCCGTAAAAGCACAACATGTCAGGAGAAAAGCAATATCATCAACTGCTAGGTTTGCGATGTAGAAATTAGTGACTGATCTCATATCACTGTTAGCCACAATAATGTATATTACCAATGCATTTCCTGCCAAAGAAAAAAGGAACGAAATTGTTATTAAATGTTCATAAAATAATAGAGCATAAACGAATTAATGAAAGAAAGAAAGTTGTTCGAACATTACAGGATGTTCAAGAAGTTGGTAGTTATGATCATCACATTATGATCATCACATTTCATCACCAAAATTATTAGTAATATAACTAAAAGTCTGCTACGTAGCTGACATGCTAAGATAAATGAACAGGCAGTGACAAAGGTATGATATCTCATTGACACAGTTACTGCCAAAAGTTTACACTACTCCGGACATGTTTGACGGGTTTAATGATCAATTGAATAAGGCCTAATCACACTAACACCCGAATCTTTACATTTATTTGGGGCAACGTGTACTGTATGTTAATACATGAAAAGGAATAAAATGTTTCATTTAATAAGTGTTTTGAAACAAACAATTTTTTACATCTTTAAGTCATTAACTGGATGAATATAGAAGAGATCACGTAGTGATTTTAGCAAATTTGTCATAACCACGAACGTGTGACGGTATGAATGTCGGCTTCATTGACTGGAGTGGGAGAAGATTGGAGGATACAAACTGCGAATGAGGACATTGGCACGCTACAAAATTACTTGAACGTAGAAGTAGTTACAAACGATACTTTATGGGATTTGATAAAAAAAAACGGTTGATTGTCGGCAACCGTATCGTACGGTAGCAATTGCACGCATCATGAGCACAGATATGCGTGTGGATGTTATCGTAAACAGAATCTATATAGGCCTAAATTTTTAAACACCATCTCGAAGAAAGTCGTCAAAATATTTTGCTTGTTATTTTTTACCTTTTAGATACATATTTTTAATTTAATTTATGTACTTACTTCTATTGGCTTTTGCAATAATTTGCATATTATATTTTTATTTATATTAATTTCAGGTAGTAATGTTTGTATTCAATGTTTCAATTAATTATTTTCTGATGATTGTATTTAGAGTTATACGGTAGTAAAGATATTTTCTAAAATTTTATTGTTACCGTACATGCTGATGGTCCCATATGATTATATTCTGGTGGATAGTTCACCCCCATGGTTCAAATAAAATAAATAAATAATAATAAACGTTATAGTATCTTCCTAACCAACATAAATATCGAAAAATAGCATCAGAATATGAACTGATAAGCATAAGGTTTAATATGATACATGGGTTTCAAAGTAAAAAATGTTTGTAGAAATATATGTGGCATCCTTTGATATATGTAAGAACAGAATCCACGAGAGAAATAAAAATGTCTACAAAAATTTACCGAACCCATCATGAACTCATCGATTTCTCATTTGTTATATAACTAGTATTTAGCAGGTCGTAATTAAAACCCATGGAATTTAAGGCAAGCAATATGATAAGGGCTATTAAACTCATCATAACGTAATTTGAAATCGATTACAATTGTTGTTGTGGCAATGTATTTAATCAACTACATCATCATTCCATATTATGCGCAAAGAAGTACCGTATTATAACTGAAACGTTGGCATATAGGCCTATCACTCGATATATTTAAGGCACTATATACTTAGTTATGAACTTGAAAACATTACCGTACTGAGTTCAGTATTCTATTTTATACAGACAGTAGGATTAGTGTAATATCTATTTAGAAGCCGCAACCAATCGTACATGATGACGTTTACAATTTTCATAAATAGAATATGCATCAAATAAAACCCAATGAACATGACATTATACTGTTAGAAATAATTAATACTTATGCGATAAAGACAATTACAATGGCCTTGGTAAAAACATATATAGGCTTAGAAAGGTACAATTTTAGAACAAAACCATGGGCCCTTTCTCCATAATGAAGCACTGTTCAAATTTTTAACTGCATTATTAGAGACTAATAGGTCTACTTAGGCCCTATTTGTTGGGACGAATCAACATGACGTTGTCACGTTTCTTCAGTAATAGCATGATGACATATTTCAATTACAGCCTACTAAGTTTCTGTAGATCAACAATTGAAGTCCAAGAGGTGTGCAATATGCACTTTACGCAAGAGGACAGGGAGCCGTCGACAGCGGCAATTCTGGTTAAGCGCCAAAGTGTTTACTGAGTTGTCTTCCTCTCTGATGAGCACAGAACCACCCGTCTTCCCTTCCTGTAGCGAAAGTGTCTATAATGCGTCTACCGTTATTTAAACAATCAGGTTCGCATGCTCAAGCAGGAAAAGACATTATTATAACATGAACCACTGATATATATTAGATTCAGAATTTTCGTAGTAGAATGTGCAAACGAAACAAAAAAAATGTCATCAGCACAAAAATTAGCAAACAGAGTAAAAGGTATGGCAGAAGATATAGGCCTACTCTCACCTGAACTGGCAGACTCTTATCGAGGTGGTCAGACCAGTACTGTGAGCGTAAGATATCCAAATTCATCGAAAAGGAAGTGGGAAAAGAAAATTATTGTTACAACACAAATCACGAAGAAATCAAATAAATCATTGTTGGCCTGTTGTTCCAAAAACCATCCGAGAAATATTGCTAATACATGGCTGATAGGCCTATGCTAAACTATTATACAGTTTGCTACCAAAATGTGTCAATCCTTCATAATTACAAGTCTGCTTTCCACAATATAGGCCTACAGCGAGGCAGATTATTTGCGAACTTAGTCAATGATTATAACTCAATAATACTTACCTTTTGCTTTATTTAAATGCAAATGCACGGTATAAAGAGCAAAAACACCATACCATTTTTTATATAATATAACCATATGCAAGACTCAAGACCACTATAGGCATAGGCTACAGAAAATTAATAGAAAAGAAAGACTAAAAATGATAGACAAAAAGAAGAAAGATTTTTTTTTTAATTAGGCCTAGTGCTTATTTACGTTGCTTTTGAAGAGGCACATGTTAATTTGTAATAAGATAGAAAACAATCAGATGGAAGATTACTTTTGACTTCATTAGGCCTATCTTTATCACTCTTGAAAGCAATGTCAACAGAACTAAATAATCTTAAAGATTAGTATGTTAAATTAAAACGAGTTGTTTACCTACCGATAATCCCAACCAGTAGTACTAAAGATATTACACTAACAATACTTATTAGAGTCCAATTTTGGCCCATAACTAGGAATATACATTGACATGGGAAGAAGAGCTTTTTACTATGCGAATACTTCCAATCAGTTTCAGATGATAATAGAGCAAACAAGTAGCCTTTCAACTCTCAGCATAATGCTGCGCGCGCAATAATAGATGTGATGTTAAGCATGGAAAATAAAATACAATAAATATTGCATTTTATGCAAATTCATTTAAACTTAACACCCCTCCGATAGTAAGTTGCTTACAATCGATTCGCAGCAAGACTCCAGTGGGCCAGATGGTTATTTATTATTTTCCTCCATGGTTATTTGTAGTCTGCAAACTAAAGCTGTGGTTCTATTTGTGGCTCTTTACTTACGTTTACTGTTTAGCTGGTGCTTGTCAAATTTGCATCTCTACCGAGATCCAGCCATTGTCTCCCACAGAATTGTTTTCAGTATTTTGCCTTCTAATTTACATATATATATATATATAGGCCTTTATATAAATGATAGATATGAAAGATAGTGTCTGGGCAATGTCTTTAATCAACTACATCACTATTTCATCTGCTCAAAAAATATCTGAAATCTATTACAGTATATCACTCCATATTACAATATACAAAAAAAAAACGTTAATAGGATTATCTACACGACAGTAACATTTGGATATAAGGCCTACTGTTTAAATGGATACCAGTAATGATTTTAAAATTTAGCACAGCATGCTAATGTGTCTATTTTTGCCTATTCGTTTTATTTCATATTATAAAACATTCACAAATTTAACCTTTCCTTTCCTGGTCCAATAATGCGGGCGCACTTCAACACTACCTTTAACGATGGACAAATTCGAGTTACAGCCATAAAAATAAACACGTTCCTTTATCTTTATTTATTAAGATTTATCAGTTTTCACACACTCGAAAAACTTAGGCCTAAAGATTTAATTAAACTGTTCTTGAACTCTGATGTTAATCCGGTAATAGCTTTGGCTTAATGATATTGAATGCATTCATGAGTTAAAACACTTATTAATCCATAAACCACAATTCTTTGCAAGCGGTGGTTTTAGTAATTCTCCATATTAAGAAAGTTTATCATGTAGATTGTATTCGATATCAAGATTGCTCTATAATTGTGTTCGCATCCTTGCAGTGGTTATTATTTTCTATAACAATGATTAAGCAAATGTTGGATAGATGAATTAGTCTGGTTTCCAACTTCATAATTACGAGCAATAAGAGCAAAATGAGATACGGTATTAATTCAAATACGTTGCAATATCAGCATATTTTGAAACCAAATTGCATAATGAGTTATACGCATGTAAACAGTAAGTACTCAGTATGAAATTCCACTTTAATTTACATAACTACTTTAATATTAGGATAATGTAATTTGTTTAATTAAACACCTATTGAAAATAATGTTAGGCTGTGTCGGCTTCGAGCCTTAATTTTTCATTCGCGGCCTTTTCTTTTGCAAAGACATGACACATGAAATGAGAAAGATCAAGTGGTTGGCCGAAATCTTGGGCAAAGTTAGATGTAATTAAAGAATAACTTACAGGCCTATATAACTTTAAAGAGTGATTATAGTAATGTTAACAGTGAAAGTGTGGACAGAATCAGACGTGGGTAGGCGAAGTCATAATTATATATACGGTAGTATATGACCTAGAAACATACAGAACGAATAGTTTGCCTGAGATGACAGAATGAGGTGTAAAAACCTAGAGAGGTATGACGATCATGAGAATCATGTTCCCTGAATAAGATATGTGATTATTTCATTTTTCATTCATTTTTATTTCATCTACTATTTCAAAATTTCATATACATAGGATAACAAAATAAACATGTTGACCATAAGTACTAACAAGAAGAATTGGATAAACACAATTTGCTGCATCTACGGTACTTCACACGTAAGCTATTACTTTTAAAATGTTCCTTTTAAATGGATATCTGTTGAAATTACTCTGCTGGTAATTATCAACCAAAATGAGAGTATACTGTATCTATTTATCATTCTGGTCAGTTGTTACTCTAGAAACCTGTGGCGTTGATCGACTGCCCATAATTGGCACAGAATTGCTAACGTGTTTATAACAGGATGGTTTAATCGTAATCTGCCACATATCATAAGATTACAGCCATACTATCTAAAATTTACACTTTTCGAAATTCCACACGTTACAAAGTGCGAGATACACGCCAACCTGTCAATGTGCTCAATTATGAGATTATTTATTTTTGCGTCAATCGCCACAGATTAAAGACTATCGTTTGATGGCGCTAATGATAAATAGAAATACGGATAGAAATAAATATATTAATTTTAATATTAATATTTATTACGGATAGAAATAAATATATTAATTTTAATTTATTACAATATATTTTTGTGAGCCATTCAGTTTTACTGGCCGAGCGGGGTATGGCAGGGTCTCCGCTAACTATGCGCTGGTTTGAGCCGCTCCTCGCCCAGGATACTATGCGCTCAGAAAAACAAGTGCACAAGACGAAGTTCGAAACTTCAAAAGGAAAAAAAATTAACTGAATATAATTATAGTAATAAGATTAACTCGTTGATGTTTCATTTAACTTGTGCAGGCGCTTATTTTTGTCAGTATGCAAAACAATAATCTACTCTTCAACATTATTAAACTAATACGCTAAGAGACAGCGTTAATTACATTGACTGTGTTTGTAATACACTTAACTCTAATTATACGCTATTACGTTTTTAGTTAAAGACAAAATGTATTTATCTAAGCCGCTAACAGTCCTTGAGAAAAAACAACACACCAATTCAAATGCATACGATTTATCTGTGACTCTAATTTATAACGCATAAAACAGTTATCAATTGTTCAGTTCAGTTATCAAGTTGTTAATCTTGATAATATAAAAAAAGTGGGTTTAAAACAAGATTTACATAATTCTGTTTATGGCGGCAACACTGTATGTATACAGTACACTGTTTTGTGTATAATATGTTGAAAGATTAAGGCGTTAACATTTTTATTATTGATATTAACATTATCATCATTATTATCATAACCCACCTTATCAGTATCATTCTCATTATTATTATTGTTATTATAAATATATCATCATCTTCATCACAATCATTTTCAATTGTGTTAGTAGTAGGCCTAGTACTAGTACCTTACTAATATTAGGCTAGGCCACTAGTAGTACTAGCAATACAGTAGTAATAGCAGTAGCACATTGGTCGTTTAAATACTGTAACTGCGATTTTCATATAAAATACTAGGCGATAAATGCAATGTCAGTGAGATGGGGTGGCGCCATATAATTTTGTTTCTCCCCGACGAATTGTTGTTTTCCTCCACGAGGGGAAAGGAGGGGGAGGAGAGAGATATACAATTTATTTAAATAAATAAATAAATCATTGCCTGTCATAGAATTAAATTTATAAGATAACACTGATTGTTGTTAAAACAATGTTTTTGATAAGTAAACTGAGCATTATAATAGTTATAGTAGCTTTTGTCATTATTGGGACGGAGATAAAACCAAGACCTGACGATAGTTTCTTAACTATAAGTTTGCGTACTCAATTTTAGCCTAGCAGTGAGTGTCTAGCCATACTTGATACAAAGTAATACTCATCATGAGACCTGGCAGTCCGGTAAGTAGGATTCTGTAATGGGGCGTCATAGAGTTCCAGGGGCCACCTTGTATCCTAGTAGAGTCTATGGAAAGAGTTCGTTGGGGTCACGTGTCGTAGATATGTGGATCTGAAGCATTCTAGCATTTAAATAATTTTATCATTCTGATGGGGTTTAATTAATAACTACTGATTGGAGCCGAAGCCTTCGAATAATGATGTTAACCCATAAAAAAAATAAGTACCTGTACCTGTACAGAAATAGTTTCCATATAGAAAAACTTCATTATCGTGCTTGGATTAGTAATGAGTAAAATGTGGAAGTCAAATAATAATAATACAGTGCGAGTATAGCCTAACTGACATAGACTCCATTAAGGTACTCTGAACATATAAGAGCAAGGAACGTGATATAAATGAGAGAAACATTGGCTTTGTTCTCACACGGCAGCTAACGGTTAGCAGGATCCGGACCCTGCTAACCGTTAGCTGCCGTGCGTCCATACGAGAAAATCCCGATCCGGATACCAAGAATATCATGATCGAATCACTGGCAAATAAGAAACCGGATACCACTAACGGTTAGCGCTAACCGATCGGGCGTTCTCACGCAGGTGCCAACGGTTAGTGCTAACGGTTAGCTCCCGATCCGGATACTAGGGCTCTCGTGAGAACCAGGCTAAAGACTCTCGTGAGAACCAAGCTTTTATTATTCTGAGGTAGGCCCTAAATGCAATTAGATAATATATAATAAAAATAAATTATATTAGATTATAGGTATATTAACATGACTTGTGTGCTATATTGAGAGAATACGACTTTACCTTCCAGGAACGCAACATAATTTTTAATACGTAATTTCATATATAAATCAATAATGCAGCCTTGTGTTTTGTAATGTGAATAATAATAAAGGCCTATTTGGAATTATGAACACGAAAGCAATTACGCATCCAAACATACCCAATAGAAGTATAAATAGGTGTTTGGATGATGCTATTTTGTGCTTAGGTTCGTATCAATTCAGATAGGCATATACAAAATCTGAAGGAATTTCACTTTCATGAAAAACGACTTTTTTTCTTCTAAGAAAAAGGACCAATACAGCAGCTCACTGATAGGCTTGGTCACAAAAATGTCACTGGGTTGTACATAAAGCTCACCAATTAAATCCACTAATCGATATTTCCTCGTATATACAGATCTCTTAATCGCCGTCATCTGCTTACTAAATTAAATATAATCTCACACTATGGTGTTTATATGTTTAAAACTACCTTAAACCCACTATAAACATGTGTTCGAAACTAAGTAGACGTGTGTTGATGTGTAAACCATCGTGTATTACAACTTGGATCATAGTAATGAGTTGTCATGTCGTTATTGACGATCTTCA